CACAGCTCCCAAGTCCTACCCTCGGCGCTAAAACGTGAATGACACTGTGGCAAGTGGTAACCAATCCACTTCTGTCAACGGTAACGAACTCGGACGTAGAGGGTTCGCACAGGAGAAAGCGTACAGACTGTCTGCAGGCAGCAGATCCAAGATGTGGGGACACCTAAGGATCCCAAGTTCGCAATTGGTTGGAATTCGGGATCGCCCGAAAGTGCAAACACTGGGGGCGACGGAGGGACCATAGTAGTGATTGATGCCAGACATCACAAAGGGTCCTATGGAGAACACAGATTTGACACCAAGCGCGGTTATGGATGGCAGTTGTCATACCCTTCACGTCCGGGGAACGTTCCCACCGCCACTAGTGAGTCTCCCACTCCCGCTGATGGCGCCGCCACCCATAGGGCTTCGGGGCTTTTTCGACCGTCAAACTTCCATGCATCTGCAAACTATCAAACTAAAGGAACCATCTCGATAACTAAGAGCTGGGAAGGAAGACTAAGCATTAGGGTTACCCTCTCGTCCTCACTACCCAACACGCTGTGAAGAGCCTTTGTTGCCAACCAGGCAAGAGGCGCCGAAGAGCTTGGGATGATTTTCAAAGAGACTTTTAGAATTAGGAGATGTTGGTCATCCGCCATTTTGCCTTCGTCTTATCCATGATCGGAAAGCCACCGGAGATTTTGGGACTCCACACTAGCGTTTCCTAAAATCCTTGGCACACCCCAGTTACATGCTTTCCTGGCCCTTTCCGCATTTTAGTCCACTCCGTGAAGTAAAGCAGTGTGGGGCGAGAGGTCATCACGTCCCGGCCTTGTCTTTAGCACTCACCCAGATGGTGATGAGGGGCCTAGCTAGTAGGATGGAAATAGGGCACAGCAGCAGCGGTGATGGTGGCTCTGCTGCAGTAAGTCTTGCCGGAGTGGGGAAAAGAGGATAGATGGGGGGTGTCCTGAAACGTAGGACTTGTGGGTTTTTCTATTAGCCCTTCTCAAGCTTTCTAAAATTTCTCAAACTGTTCGCGGTATGTCTCAGCCGAAGCCGGGTAACGGCCCGGTAATCTAATGTTTGTACAATTCATATGGGACGCTGGGCCCGGTTCCCAGCACGTGTGGCTCCCCACAAATAGATTGGTGCATTTGTCCCGAAGAAAAAGAAAAAGGAAAAAAGGTGAGTTATCCAGTTTGGTGAGTCGTGGAGCAAGGGCAGCCTTTTGCTTAGAAAAGTCCTGTGGCGAGTGCTTACCACAGAAAATCCAGTCGGTGACTGGTGGAGAGAGGTCCCCTTAGAGTAACACATTGCTTGTGGGGGCCCACTACGGTCACCTGAATAGGACATCCCTTACAGCCATATCTGGAGCCTCTTTCAGACTGTAGGGAGTACTCCAAACTTGTCAGGAGTCATTTCAATTTCTTTGCAGGGTATGTCCAGAAAAAGCAGCAAAATGTAAAGAGCGCTCCAATACCTTTCGCGGATTTTGGCTAAGATAAAGTGTAGTATCTGTTCTGATGAGTTAAAGAAAAGAAAAGAAAAAGAGAGCTTTCCTATGCAGGCCTTGTGGCTGAACGCAGTGAACGGTACCCATGTAACTGTCGATAAATGGATGCATGTTTCAAGCCAAGTTTGAACCTCACCTCGTGGAATGAATTAAAAAAAAAAAAAAAAAAAAAAAAAAAAAAAAAAAAAAACACTTTGAAACAGTTGAAAAAAATCTCCGAGTCAGGGAAGTTCAGCATCCTCCATCTGTTAATGGGGGAGCTGCACCTGCTGGAAAATGGGTTAATTAGGTGATATGAGCATCCTCCATCTATTTGTGGAGAGCTGCACCTGCTGGAAAATGGGTCCAAAAAAAAAAAAAAAAAAAAAAAAAAAGGGTCCAGCTTCCGCTTGTTGTATATTGATTGTCTGTGACCGGTTGCTAAAGAGGATGCTCCAGATTACTTTCCAATAATGGAATATTGGGATACTTGCCTCTGTGCCTATATATTCCTGTTTTGGAGTCCTATCCCTGTCCCTTCTGCTGTCCTGTCTCATGGATTCCTGGAATGGTTTTTTTTCTTCTTTTTTTTGACAAAAGGCCCTCTTTTTGTATTATGCGAGGGTGCCAGACCAGTTACTTATCCCCAGCAAGCATACAATACAGAACAATAAGTGAAGACACAAGTGTCAAGTGTCATCTCACTCATCAGGGATAGCCCAAGGCCACGAAAGGGTAGCGGGAGACTAGCTGACGTACCCAGTCCTACCCTGCAGCACTTCAAGAAAAGTGCCTGAAGCTACTCATCAATCCTTTTTTGGATTGCTCCGGTATCTTCAAGGGAGCGGCACAGGGTGGGAAATAGGTCCAGCATCATGGAATGAAATAAATAGCTCAAGAGAGCTTTTCTATCATCCACGGTCAGCATCTCAGCATATTAAACTGGCCCATGGGGTCCCGCAAAAAACAGCCAACATAACATACTTAACACTGGCTCCCTGTCCTTTTTTTTTTTTTTTTTTTTTT